AAACCATTTCAGGTGACTACCTCTTGAAGCTCATGGAGAGAATGCCAAGAGTGTGCAAAGCAGTAATCAGAGCAAAGGGTGGCTATTTTGAAGAAACTAGAATATAAAACATGTTTTCAGTTATTTCACCTTTTTTTGTTAAGTACATAACTCCACATGTGTTCATTCATAGTTTTGATGCCTTCAGTGAGAATCTACAATGTAAATAGTCATGAAAATAAAGAAAACGCATTGAATGAGAAGGTGTGTCCAAACTTTTGGCCTGTACTGTATGTATTCATGGTATTATGTTCTTGACTAATTTTGACAGTTGAACAGACTATTGTGCATGTGATAACTTATACAATGAAATGATGCTGACATGTTTTGGAGAGAACAACCATTAGACTGAGAATCAACAATCAGTTTAGATCAACAAGATCTATTCACTTGGAAATTGTGCTAACTGTAGGCTACCTGTACTTAATCATTTGCAAAGATGTACTGAGACATTGAGACATGTACTAAGACATTTGCAATTTGATGAAATGAATGAGAAATTCAATTCTGTTGTGAACAACTGCCAAGTGGTTTGGAGGTTTGTCCATGTTATTTTGAGAATGTAAAATCTGTTTCAAGAAATGAGCCAAACCAATGGAGAAAAACTGTAATAGGATGAATAAAGGGAATGATTCTGATTGTGAGAGTCAATATTTGCCCTGAAATAAGAACACTGATATTTGTATGGGGTAGATATTCAAACAGGTTATGAATATACATGTACATCTACATGATTTGATGTTCCTTTATCATGAGGACTAAAAGACGATTATACGGACCACTGTCACTTCCTACATGACATATATTCATCTATTTGTATGCTTATATGTAAATATGACTTCCCACACTGGTATTACTGGTATGAAAGGGGGCTTATATCGGAGGAACAGCAAGAAAGTAGCAATTCTACCATTGTGATTTAGACATTATGTAAGTTTTTGGGAGGAAAGAAGGAAAATCAAGAGAGGGGAAAAAGACGTTAGAGGGGTGGAGGCTTAGACAGAGGGTGTGTCAACCTCTATTTAAAAAGCTTTGTGTCCGTGATCTCTTGTTACATCCTTCTCTGCCACCATCTCAACCTCTCAACCTACACAGGTTTTCATACAACTTTGGTAAGTGTTAATATGTTTTTAAAATCCTTTCTGAAATACAGAATTCAACACTTTGCTTGTCATTTATCTACGTAGTTGATTCCTGACATATGTGTTGCATTATGTGGCATGAGATGCATGAGTGAGCTACTGGGTGTTTTTTGTGTAATGTGTGGAGTGCTGCATCTGAATAGGATTAGGAAAGGACAATGAAAAGCTGTTTTAAAAGATCTGCAGGCATGCAGTAGGCTGAGAAAACCAAGAGGAACTAAAAATCAGTGAGTTAGGACAGTGTATGTATGTACTGTATGTAGTGGCATTCAGAGGAAACAACCAGGGAAGGGAGTTGGCAAGCAGACTGTGCCACACCCGTACTTACTCTTGTCTCTTTTTTATAACCAGTGGGCACTAGAAATGTAGTAACTCTTGGGGACAGAGGAGATTATGAGCAAGCACTACAGCAAGACTTAGAGAGAATGAAAATGTGAACTTCTTTCTTTCTTTTTTTTAAGAATCACTTCTTTTCATGAGTCAGATGAGGACATGTGTTGGGCAGTAACTTTCCAGACCATAGCAAGCTGCTCATTTAACTCCTCCCAGTGTTTTTACTGGATGATCCAAAGCAGTGGAGTCCAGCCCGTGTGTGTAGCTTCTCACATTACCAAAGTGCAGCATTGCCAAAGCCACCTAAAATGAATGACTGACTGAACAAATACATAAACAATTAAATCAATAAACACCCGACTAAAAAGTCACCAATATTTTCTCATTCCAGCCAACATGTCAGAGCTCAGTGATGCAATGATGAAGCTCCAGAACGTCTTTGACAAGTATGCTGGACAAGACGGCGACAAAAAGACTTTGAGTAAGGCAGAACTCTCCAACCTACTCCGCAATGAGTTTGCCGGGGCAAAGGTAAGTGGAAAAGGTGTAGCAGTATTACAACAGAAAGCTATGAATGCATCTTGGACATTTTTATTTGTTTGTTTGTTTTACAGTCCAATTACATCTCTAACTGTGTTGTTTTTTTTTTTTCTTATTCAGAACATGAAAAGCACTGAGGTGGAAGAATTCTTCAACGCGCTGGATCACGATCGTAATGGTGTTGTTACTTTTCAGGAGTATATCACTTTTGTTGCAGCTCTCGCTACTGTATGCCGTTAAAAATAAATGATTCGGTCACATTGCCTCAGAACTTTCTTGATCCAACTTGCCCCAAAATTTTAGAGACATCTAGCCTATGAAATTCACATTTTTAAATGTTCTGATAAGGAAAATTTAGTTAAACATGAATCATAGATGGGTGCTGACTGGATGTGTTTCACTGATTCTGAATGTCATAATGTCATTAACAAAGAAACAAAAATAAATGTCACATTTTTTTTGAATGTCTTGTGATTGCACTCTTTATTCCACTTATTTATTTCACAACACACGTTGACAAGCTACCAAGCAGTTTATAGTAAACAGTTGGTTTCACCTTTATTAGCTGCAAAATTAAAGTGATGATTACATTAAAGCATCAATAATTACGATTCAATAATCACATACATTATTCTGAAATGGGCTGTTGTACATAATAAGTACTTTTACTGTGGGTACTGTAAGTATATATTGTTGCTATTAACTTTGTACATTTCCTTGAATAAGATTTTGAATGCAGGACTTTTAGGGTGGAACTTTAAAAGTGTGACAAACAGATTAACATCATGAAACATGGGAAAAGTCACGGTTGGCAGTTTGTGCTCACATACTTTACTTTCACCAATACCAAATACTGTAGGCTGGGGGGAAAATCCACATCACTGAACTGTATTTCTTCCTTTGAGTTCTTGTTGATTACTTTGCACTGAGGACAAGGCGAAACCAAGCACATGTGCCAGAAGGAAGCTGAGGATGATAGACACAATAAAAATATTCTTAATGTGCATTGTTTTTAGTTAATGTAATAAAGAAGACCTTTTGTTCCAATCAATCAAGTAAGTAAGTAAAATTTATTTAGATATGTTTGCAGACATAGGTCACAGCTTGCTTCACAAGGGCAATGTACAACAAGAAAGAAATTAGAGAGACAAATGAGTCACAGGTTATTCTGACAAATGAGTCAGAGTCACATGAGTCACGTGGAGAAAAGTTTACAACTGGCAAAACTACTTGCACACACACACATGAAAAAAGAAGAATTCAAACTACACAATAACAATACACAAAATAAAAAGTACAGCTCTGGTGTGTTCAGGTTACCCAAATGCTTGTCTAAACAGGCGTGTCTTTAGATGGCTTTTAAAAGAAACCACAGAGTCAGCAGATGAATGAATGAATGAATCTTTATTATCATTACACAAAATGTACAATGAAATTCCATCTGACTATCTTGGGATAAGAGCAATTAGAAATGTACACACACACACACACAGACACACACACACACACAAGAAGTTAAGAGCAGCAGCAGTAAAAGTGTCAGTGCATATTTAACCCTGTGTATTATAGTGGAACAATAGAGGCCGCAGCTCTGGGATAGAAGCTGTTTTACAGTCTGTTGATTTTTGATTTGATTGTCCTGAACCTTCTGCCAGATGGTAACCGTTCAAACATGGCGTGGCCGGGGTGTGTAATGTCTTTGAGGATACTGTGAGTTTTCTTTTTGAGTTTGTTGGTGTGAATAATGTCCAGTCCAGGGAGCTTCAACCTGATGATGTGCTGTGCCGCCTTTACCACACGCTGGGGGCTGTGACGTTCTGCGACTGTATAGCTGGCGTACGTCACTGTGGTGGTGCTGCTGGTCAGGATGGACTCAATGGTGCTTCTGTAGATGTTTAGGAGTTTTTGAGAAAGTTTGGCCTTTGAGGTAGTTTGATCGTAAGGGAACGGGCAGAGCATTCCAAAACTTAGGTGCTACGGCCACAAAAGTTCAATCACCATGTGAGTGCGAGGGACAGACAACAAACTAAGCAAGCTGCGAGCGAGCGAGCTGAAGAGTACGGGTGAAGTAGTTCAGCTACATAAAAGGTTTATTGACTTTCCACGTCCACATATGACATGCAAGGTACCCTGGGTGCATTGGTTGCTGACGTTTTGTGTCAAGTTCTGCCTGTTACATGCATCATCTTCTTGCGTTTTCACAGGAAATCTAACATTTACATACAGTGTCTTTCAAAATAAACGCACTACGTCGGTACAACACCATGAATTCACATGTTTTTTACTTCAACAACAGACACATGGTTGGGTTTAGGAAAAAAGAACAGGGTTTGGCTTTAGAATTTTACAGGACACTGACACCACTCTCTCGTGTTAAAGTCGTGGTTTGTTGGACCCATCCACCAAACCCCTCCTACCCGCCCCAGCTTGTCCTTGTCCCACCACGTTTCCCCTTGATGCCACCGGGTGCTGTTAAACTGTAACGGCAACTGTCCACTTATCATTCCAACTTTAAAGGACACCTTTTTTCGTTGGTTTCTGACGTAGCAAGTCACTGCCTGTGTCAGATTTTGAAAACTTCCTAACCACGTGCATTTGTTGCCTAAACCCAACCATGTGTGTTTGCTGTTGAAGGAAAAAATATGTCAATTCACAGTCTTGTACTGACGTAGTGCATTTATTTTGAAAGAGACTGTATGTAAATGTTAAATGTCCTGTGAAAACAGAAGTGTATTTTGAAAGAAGACTATACATGTAACAGGCAGAACTTGACACGGTGTCCCAGAACATCAACAACCAACGCACCCAGGGTACCTTTAGCATGACCAAATGTCAATATGTGACGAGGTCGGAGTGAGAATGTGTTGGCAAAACCAGCTGTGCTAATTTGACTGATGAAGGAAGTGATTTTGAAACTTAAAGTCAGTATTTGCTCTGAAATAAGAACATTAAAAAATAGTACTGATGGAAGTGAAAGCAGATTATCTATCATCTCATATCACATATTTATTTGCATGAGAATCATTTTATGACTCATGAGTTGCCCAAACTGGTTCAAGTAGTATGGGGGGGGGGGGGGGCTTGGAGAAAGGGTGTGTCAACCTATAGACTATTTAAAAAGGTTTGCCTGTGCTCTCTGCTCACAAATCCCTCTTTGCCACCATCTCCACCTCTCTACCTCTCCAGCTCTCGACATTTTCATACAATTTTGCAGCATTAACTATTTTAAATTTAATTTATCTGACTAGTTGTTACCTGATATGTAGCGGCATGTGGCATGGGATGCATGAATAAGCATGCTCACTAATGTGACACTAGTGAGAATCCAGTAAATTAAGGTAAAAACACTTCTCCTAGGAAAAAAAAATCATAAGACAATTAAAAGTTGCTGAGACAAAAAAAAGTAATGAGCCAATGGGCCCCTGACATGCAAAAGACCCCACTACTTCTCCTAAACAGGAGCAACACACATGGATTTTGTGGTTATTTTGTGTCTCTTTGGAGTCATTTATGTCTGCTTGTCATTTTGGTGTCTTTGAGGTCATTTTGTGTCTTTTTTTGGTCGTTTTGTGAGGCTTTGTGATACGATTGTGTCTCTTTGTGGTTGTTTTGTGTCTTTTTGTAGTTGTTTTGTGTTTCTTTGTGGTCATTTTGAGTCTCTTCCTGATCAGTATGTGTTCATTTGAGTGACTTTTTCAAGTGAAGGCCAGGAGCCACATTGACACTTTCGACCCTTGCCCAGTTGGCCCGTTCAGCAATTCATCCATGCCAACCTGTGTTTAAGTGCAGCATGACGCATTACCACGGTACTGCATTACCACAGCAATGTAAGCTGAATAAATAAATAAACACTGGAATTCCAGTCAACACATTTTATTTTCTTTCCAGCCAACATGTCAGAGCTCACACAGGCGATGGCACTCCTCAGGACTACCCAGGCCCGGAGTGGCTAATCAGGAGGACCGGGACAATTCCCTATGGGCCGGTCTGAAGCATGAAACTCCAGGGCTGAAAATGAGTCCCACTCCGGCCCTGGGACTACTTTTGACAGTTACACTGAAAAAAGAAGGAGACACAGAGACTATGACCAAGAGAGAACTTGCTGATCTGCTCCACAGTGAGCTTCCTGGGGCAGGAGTAAATAGAGAAGATGTAGCACTATAGCAACAGAGCTGTAAATGCCTCTTGGGCAAATTTGTATGTTTCTCAACCTATCCACAACAAATTCTTCAGCATGCTGGATAGCGATAGTGATGGTGTTGATAATTTTGTGGAGTATGTCACTTTTGTAACAGCTCTCACTGTGATTTAAAATAAGTTACTTGGCCACATTGCCTGAAAATTTTCTTGCCTCATTTAATTTGTACTGAGTGAAAAAATGAGTTATCCAAATAAAGCTATAGCTTCCACTTAAATAATAAAGTCAAGTTAGTAATGGTTCCCTTAATTGAAGTCATGTACAGTAAGGGAAAGCACTAGAATATGTTGTTATAAGTGCTTTCCAGCTCTTGTGACCATATGGTTGTCGGTTTGGCCTTTTGTTATAGATCTGAGATCCAGCCTGCAGAACCAGCTGCGTTCATTTGACTAATGAAGGTAAATATTCTGTAACTGTCAATATTTACCCTGAAAAAAAAAAACTGGCATTTGTTTGAGGTTTGAGTTAAAGGACAAAAGACGTCCTTACAGCTTATGGATATACATGACGATGATGATGTTTCATCCTCATGCAAACTGAAAGATTATACTGACCACCATTACTTCATACCTGACAGACAATCGTCTGTTCTTATGCTTATAGGCATATGACTTGTTGCTTTCCCCCAGCAGTATCACAGGTATGACAGGGGGCTTACATCAGAGGAAAAGCAAATAAGTGTCAATTCTAGTGTTTACATTTTGTACGTTTTTGGGAGGAACAATAGAAAGACAAAAGGAGGGGGATAGGTATAAAGAGGGGTGGGGGCATGGAGAGAAGGTGTGTCAAGCTCTATATATACAGGTTTGCGTCTGTGTTCTCTGCTCAGATCTCTTTCTTCCACCATCTCTCATCTCGACCTCCACAAGCTTTCAAACAACTTTGGTAAGTGAAAATATTTTCTGAAATCCTTTTTGAAATAAAGCACTAAACATTTTACTTTTAATTTATCTACAGAGGTTTTTCCTGATATGCAATATGTAGCATGAGATGCGAGAGTGAGCGACAATGCTGAGGCTTTACCAAATTACTGTATTACCAAAGTCATGTAAAATGAAAGAATGCATGAACACATAATGAAAAACAAGAAAGAAACACTGAACTGGATAGTCAACACCACTTTCTCGTTCCAGCCAACATGTCAGGGTACGATGATGCTCCAAAGCTCTTGGCGTCAATATATTTGCTCAAGGATGTCTTTGACCAGTACGCTGGACAAGGTGGAGACTCACAGACTCTGACCAAGAAAGACCTCTCTGAGCTGCTCCGCAAAGAGCTTCGTTTGAATGTAAGTAGAAAATAAAGTTGTATAATTGCAACAGGAAGCTGTGAATTCCTCTTGGACAGAAGTGTTTTTGTTTTGTTTCACTGTCTATTTACAACTTCTACTGCTTTTCTCCATTCAGGTCTCAAACTGCCCTGAGGCAGAAGAATACTTCAACCGACTGGATGCCAACGGGGATGGTACTGTTGATTTCGAGGAGTATCTCACTCTGGTGGGAGGACTCGCTTTGATCCTAAGCGCCATGTACAATCAACAGTAATCCATGTACAGTCACATGTATAAAATATGTTTCATCATCATATGCTCTGACAAGGAAAACATGGTTAATAAACACACAGATGAATCATAGATGGGTTATTATGTAGTCCTGCAGGACTTGAAATGTGATGTCTCTGAGTGTGTTTTGCTGATTCTGAATGTCAGAGGTGATTAACAAAGAAGCAAAAATAAATGTTGCCTCCTTTTACTGAATGTTTTGTGTGTGTTCCTTAACAAATTACAGATATTGTGCAAACTGAGTCATCTGACCCTCTCTGTTGCACGGTGGAGGAATGTAATAGATACATTTACTCAATTACTGTCCTTAAGTACAATTTTATTTATATATTTATTTATTTATTTTGTTACATTATACTTCTACTCCACTGCATTTATCTCACAACAACACTGGTTAATTTGCAGATTCAGATTATTGTTGCAAATATAATCAGCAAATAAATCATCATGTATTATTATGGATAAAGATAAAACTTTTTGATTTCTCGCTGAAATTGACAAGCTACCAAACAGTTTATAGTAAACAACTAGCCTCACCTTTACCAGGTGCAGAATTAAAGTGATGTTTACATTAATGCATCAAATCAAATCATCCCCCCACAAGATTATGAGCTCAGTTCTTTTATGGCACTCGGATAAAAAGTATTTGTGAGTCTAGAGGTGCGGGCCCAAATGGACCTGTAGCGCCTCCCAGAAGGCAGCATTGCAAACAGACAGTTTCCTGGGTAAGAACAGTCCTGGATTATGTTTTCTGCACAGCGCAGGCATCTGGCGCTGTATATGTCAGACAGATAGGGAAGCTGTGACCTTATGATGTCCTGTGCTTACTTCCTAACTCTATCCAGAGCTTTTTTTGTCAGCCACGGTGCAGCTTTTAAACCACACCAAGATGTCGTGGGTGATGATGCTCTCCACAGAACATTTGTAGAAGGACAGCAGCAGTTCCAGGGACAGGTTGACTTTCCTTGGTGACCTCAAAAAGTACAGTCGCTGCCGTGCTTTTTTCACGAGGGCAGTGGTGTTGACAGTCCATGTGAGGTCCCGAGAGATGTATGTGCCTGGGAATTTAAAGTCACTGACCCTCTCCACGATGTCCCCTTTGATGTAAAGAGGGGCAGGTTCCTCCCTGCCAGATTGTTGACAGAGCACCAAGCAGTCAATAATTCTAATCTAATAATATACAAACATATTATTCTGAAATGGGCTGTTCTGCATAATGAGGAGCCTACTTTTACTTTTGGTACAAAAAAAGCTATAGTTTCCACTTAAATAATAAAGTCAAGTAATGGTTCCCTTAATTGTAGTCATGTACAGTAAGTGACAGCACTAGAATATGTTGTTATAAGTGCTTTCCAGCTCTTGTGACCATATGGTTGTCGGTTTGGCCTGTTGTTATAGATCTGAGATCCAGCCTGCAGAACCAGCTGCGTTTATTTGACTAATGAAGGTAAAAATTCTGTAAGTGACTGTCAATATTTACCCTTAAAATAAATACTGACATTTGTCTGAGGTTGAGTTAAATAAAAAAAAAAAAAAATGATGTCCTTACAGCTTATGGATATACATGTATATCTACATGATGGTGACGTTTCATCCTCATGCAAACTGAAAGATTATACTGACCACCATTACTTCATACCTGACATACAATAGTCTGTTTTTATGCTTATATGCAAATATGACTTGTTGCTTTCCCCCAGCAGTATCACAGGTGGCTTACATCAGAGGAAAAGCAAATAAGTGTCAATTCTAGTGTTTACATTTTGTACATAAATGGGAGGAATAATAGAAAGAAAAAAGGAGGGGGATAGGTATAAAGAGGGGTGGGGGGCATGGAGAGAAGGTGTGTCAAGCTCTATATATACAGGTTTGCGTCTGTGTTCTCTGCTCAGATCTCTTTCTTCCACCATCTCTCATCTCGACCTCCACAAGCTTTCAAACAACTTTGGTAAGTGGACATATGTTTTAAAATCCCTTTTGAAATAATGTACTACACATTTTGCTTTTAATTTATCTAAGTTAGTTTTTCCTGATATGCAATATGTGGCATGAGATGCATGAGTGAGCGACAGTGCTGAGGCTTTACCAAATTACTGCATTACCAAAGTCATGTAAAATGAAAGAATGCATGAACACATAATGAAAAACAAGAAAGAAACACTGAACTGGATAGTCAACACCACTTTCTCGTTCCAGCCAACATGTCAGGGTACGATGATGTTCCAAAGCTCTTGGCGTCAATATATTTGCTCAAGGATGTCTTTGACGAGTATGCTGGAAAAGGTGGAAACCCACAGACTTTGACCAAGAGAGAACTCTCTAAGATGCTCCGCAAAGAGCTTCGTTTGAATGTAAGTAGAAAATAAAGTCGTATTATTGCAACAGGAAACTGTGAATTCCTCTTGGACAGAAGTGTTTTTGTTTTGTTTTACTGTCTATTTACAACTTCTACTGCTTTTCTCCATTCAGGTCTCAAACTGCCCTGAGGCAGAAGAATACTTCAACCGACTGGATGCCAGCGGTGATGGTACTGTTGATTTCGAGGAGTATGTCACTCTGGTGGGAGGACTCGCTTTGATCTTAAACGAGATGTACAATCGAAAGTAATCCATGTAACACTACAGTCACATGTATAAAATATGTTTCATCATCATATGCTCTGACAAGGAAAACATGGTTAATAAACACACAGAGATGAAGAGATGTCAGAAGTGATTAACAAAGAAGCAAAAATAAATGTTGCCTCCTTTTACTGAATGTTTTGTGTGTGTTCCTTAACAAAATATAGATATTTTGCAAACTGAGTCATCTGACCCTCTCTATTGTATGGTGGAGGAATGTAATAGATACATTCACTCAATTACTGTCCTTAAGTACAATTTTATTTATATATTTATTTATTTATTTATTTATTTTGTCACATTATACTTCTACTCCACTGCATTTATCTCACAACACCAGTTACTGTGCAGATTCAGATTATTGTTGCAAATATAATCATGATGTCTTATTATGGATAAAGATAAAACTTTCTGACCCCTTGGTGAAACTGACAAGCTACCAAGCAGTTTATAGTAAACAACTGGCCTCACCAGCTGCAAAAATAAAGTGATTCTTACTTTAATGCATCAATAATTCTAATCTAATAATATACAAACACATTATTCTGAAATGGGCTGTTCTGCATAATGAGTAGCCTACTTTTACTTTTGGTACAAAAAAAGCTATTGTTTCCACTTAAATAATAAAGTCAAGTAATGGTTCCCTTAATTGTAGTCATGTACAGTAAGTGACAGCACTAGAATATGTTGTTATAAGTGCTTTCCAGTACCATATGTTTGTTAGTTTGGCCTGTCAGGGTTACTGCATGCAGGAGTTTGTTATAGATCTGAGATCCAGCCTGCAAAACCAGCTAATGAAGGTAAATATTCTGTAAGTGACTGTCAATATTTACCCTGAAAAAACATTTATATGTTTGAGGTTGAGATACAAAAAACCAAACAAGGAGTCCTTACAGCTTATGGATATACATGTATATCTACATGATGATGACGTTTCATCCTCATGTAAACTGAAAGGAGATTATACTGACCACCATTACTTCATACCTGACATACAATCGTCTATTTTTATGCTTATACGCAAATATGACTTGTTGCTTTCCCCCAGCAGTATCACAGGTATGAAAGGGAGCTTACATCAGTGGAAAAGCAAATAAGTGTCAATTGAATGAATGAATGAATGAATGAATGAACTTTATTTATATGGCACCTTTCATGCACAAAATGCAGCACAAAGTGCTTTACAATTCAGATGGTAGAGACAAACAGCAAAGAAATAAAACCATGCAATGATATTACACTAATTCAAGAAGAAAAGAGAAGAAGAAATAAATGTATCAATCAATAATTAATTAAGTAATAAAAAACATATATACAAACATATTAAGAATATTAAAACAGATAGCTGCTAGTTCTAGGCTATGTTAAAAAGATGTGTTTTGAGTTGTCATTTAAAACTGTCCACTGAGCCAGCAAGTCAAATATTTAAAGGCAGGGTGTTCCATGTTTTTGGAGTGTAGTAGCTAAAAGAAGCTTCCCCAAAGGTTTTTGTAGTGAAAGGGCAGCTGCGGAGGATCTCAGGGTTCGTGGAGGGACATACTGCAAAGTGATAGGAAATCCATTATATACGAGGGAAGGAGGGAAATAGGTATAAAGAGGGGCGGAGGCTTGGAGAGAAGGTGTGTCAACCTCTATACCACTTATGTCCACTTTGTGGTGATGGAGAACACAGTAATTATACATAATGTCACCACACCATGTATAAATTTAATATAAATCTAAAGATAACCGTCAGTCAATGCTTACTTCCTGTTGCCAGTAGGTGGCGCAATCACCATGACACTTAATTGGCATGTTGATGTCTTCAGGTCTGGAGCATTAGGTCCCGTTTATACGATTTCAACTGAAAACGGTAAACTTTAGTTGCGTTTTGGCCGATCGTTTACACGACAGCTGCGTTTTGGGTGCCTGAAAACGCAAAGTTTTTGAAACAGGTTCCAGAGTGAAATTTTTTTGAAACGGCACCGTCTCCATTGTCATGTAAACTTGCAATATGCAGTTCCTCTGAAAACGGAAACTTTGAGTACATGTGCATTACGGTTCCAGTCACTAGGCATGCGCGAGAAAGTTGACCATCACAACAACAATGGCTCCCAAGCTCTGCTTGTGCTGCTCACCCTATTGAATTTATCAGCGCTTCTCCATCATAGTGTAGATTTACTGTAGCAACTCCATATCATCGTCCGTCCAGACAAACGTTCGTGCGGTTGTAATTTTTTTTTGTTTATACATCGCCGCTCTGTAGAAGGAAGCGTAAGCGTCACACTGCCAACTACTGGCCTGGCATGTATACTGCAACGTTTCTGGTCATTTTTGCGGATCTGTTATCAAAACGTTGTCGTCTAAACATGGAACTTTTTCAAAACGAAAATGACAAACAGTTCTGTTTTCAGTGGATCGTTTTCGTGTAAACATGGCCTTATATAACAAATGAAACTTGGTGCAGACTGGAACAAGTACATGGAAGTTACAACAAATAAGTTACAGTGAATAAGGTGTTGCCATGGCAACACTGTTCAATGTAAACTCACAATCTTTACAAGTAAGCATCATCAAGGTCTTGCAACCATATCT